GTACTATTAAGCAAATCATAATGGATTTCTTTGGGCAATTAACACTTAAAAAGTATGTAAGCCATATTTTGAAGGTACAAAAAACACTCTTACATAGAAGATTCTAGCCGTAGCAGACCATACCTGTGTCGTGGGGAACTAACTGAAGTACCTGTTGTTTTCCACAGAAGCGATACAGGGCAGTGTACGATTACGCTGCTGCTGATGAAGACGAGGTTTCCTTTGTGGACGGAGATGTGATCATAGATGTGCAGCAGATCGACGAGGGCTGGATGTACGGCCGCGTGGAGCGCACCGGCCAGCAGGGCATGCTGCCCGCCAACTACGTGGAGGCCGTCTGAGTGAAAGGGAGAGAAAAAGAGGGAGAGAAAAAGGAGGAGGTAGAGAAAGGGAGGGAAAGAAGGAAAGGAAAAGCCCAGTGCCATCTCATCTTAACGCTGCTTCCTCTTGATTTTACTCCTGTTCCCTGATCTGTCCTGTGAGACCCTGAAACCCCCAACCCCCCCTTCTGCGTCCCTGCTCTACTCTCACTGTTTCACCACAGACACCTTCTACCTTTGGTCTGTCTGTCCTTCTCTGTCTGTCTGCCTGCCTCTTTGTCTGTCTGTCTGTGCTGAAGTCTGTCTCTGTTTGGATGTTCCTCATCCTCTCTTGTCTTTTCCCAAACCTGGCTCCGCTCTCAAGTGCTGTCTCAAGTGGAAAAATGAAAGTCTTAAGGATAAAACACACAGTTCATTGCAGTATGGCAGGGGTCATGCCATGCCACACAGCTCCATCCTAGCTATAGCACTTAATCCTAGCACAACATCATGCAAAACTTAAGAGGAAGAAACAGTAAAATATCCCCTTTTCCCCCGAGAGACAGTCGCCACAGCTGAAGACGTTTATTCTGTAAAGAAATTAGGTTTAATAAATGTGGATGGGTGTGGCATATTATCACAGGCTTGTTTTTTTTTTTTTTTTTTTCTCATTTAGCATCTTTAGATCTTGGCCAGACTGGAAACACAGTGCAGAATCTCTGTGTATCAGAAAGAAGCTTGAATATGTTTGACTTGTGTACATTCCTTTAACCTCTAGCCCTGTTGCTGGTGCACCAATCAGCCAGTTATCAGTCTTAACAGAGAGGTTTTTAATATATTTATCGATTGACACACATCTCGCCGTTGTGTGCTCGGGTAGGCACCCTCGTGTTCAGCACTGCATTGTGGGCATCGTTGTACAACTGGAATTGTAGCCTAACTGAAGAGCACCTCCTGTAGTTGCCTTTCTCGGGCTCGTCGGATACAGGAGGGATCAGGGACAAGTTAGGGGACATTATCAGTCCATCTCTAGCAGCCACACTGAATACTTCACCTCAGTCGGCGTGGATGCACCCTTATTCCTGTTTTTTGCAGCCTGAATGCCTTCAGTCCTGAGTGAATCACAAAGTTAAGGTGATCAAGGTTATACTGTTAGGAAAAAGGAGATGGGAACATGTCCTTCCCCCTTTTTTGCTACAAAATCACCAAGAAAACACATTCATAAAAGAGAAGGCCAAGCACAACTCTATATTGTGATTTTTTTCCTTTTCAATCATTCCACTGTTTTTGTGAGTGAACATTCCAACCTTTGTTTTCCATTTAATGTGAGAGAAATTGTCGAATCCTTGGCTGTGGTAAATGTTGTTTTCATGCTGTTCTTTCTTTTTGCCTTTCTTTTTGCCTTTCTTGTTATTGTTATTGTAAAATAATTATTTTCAAAAAAAAGTCAGTGTATCAAATTAATTAACCTGCAACTCGATTTATGAACCAAGCCAGACTTGTGTGGTCGCAGTATTAGATCAGTTTTGGGATTTTTCAACCTGCAGTTTCAGGTCAGACCGGTGCTAGCAGCCGGAATAAAGAATCATCCAAATGCTTGCATGTTCATGCCTGTCTCTGATAAGTGGATTCTCGTTTATGCTCTTTAATATTCTGGAGTTTCAAAAAGAGAATCATGTTACCAAATGGCGTTTAAAATCAGCCCTGGTCTTTAAAACTTCCTAAAGCCAGGCCTGTCACCCGCCTGTCAGGGTTTGAGCAATGATGTCAGACACAACGTTTTGTTCTGTCCACCTGCCAGGTGAATCCCAAAATCTGATCACTGAATCTGCCGAGATTTACGAGCATTTGGTCAGTGTTGGTCAAAAAGATTTAAAGGATGTTGGTTCATAAACACAAAATCAAGCATTTAAGTTGCTGGCTATTACACAGAAATGCTGTATCATTCCTTCACTCTAAATACTTTGTTTCTGTGAGGACCTTTTTTATATGATTTAAAAACAGATATTGACCATTACTCAGTGGTGTAAATAATCTCACAGGCCCCTGACCATACACATCTCTCCCCGTTTTCTTGCTGTTTTCTTCTCCTGTGATGCACTGTGACTGTCACAGACATGAGCGATCAGGGCGGTTTCTAAGGTGGGTTGGGGGTGGCGGAAAAAAAGTTCAGCTTTATTAAAAGAAAAAAGGCTCTCACTATGTAGCTAGATGGCATTGTACAATTGTATATGTATCATAAAGGTAAGTTAGGGAAATGTTTTTACAGGTCATGGTGCTCTGGGAAGTAGCTTGCCTGCAGATTAGAGTGGTTCATATTTTTTTGTGAATGTGGCTGAGGGGACGTAATGTGAAAAAATACAGTTTGGTGCAAGTTGGTGTTGAACATTAATAACATTCTAACTTTCTAATGTGATTAATTGTGACAGTGCTGAACAATAAATCAGAAAAGAACACCTGACAAACACACCAAACACAATGAACACACTGTATGTATGCCTGTATTTTGCATTGACCTACACTTGACAACAGGACAAGTTTATTTGCAAAACAGATGCTTGATTGAAAAGCTGTTTTAGAGCTCATGGTTGTGTTTTTCTCTTGAGTAAACTGAAGAGTTGGTGGTTGGGCTTCAAGTGAAACTATTGCTGTTCCTGGCTTATGATGATGTTTGCTCAGATATATTTAAAAACAAAGCTACTCGGCGGATTACATCCAATCAAAACGTTATTTTGTCTCAAGGGGCTTGGATTTGGACACTTTGTTTTCTGGATTAAGTGGAAAAAGTGGCCAGAGACGGGCCAGTGTTGAGTAAGTGTCGTTAAGGATGGATTTGTTAAGTCAAATATGAGCATTTGGGGATGTAAGAATGCGGGGCTGGGGGTGTGACAGAGCGCTGATCCAATGCTCTGTATCTCCCAGGCTGTGAGGCAGGGCAAGTTGTTTGTCTGACCTGGATATTAGTCAGGGGTAACCACTTGCGCCAAATACTGCTCTTCTGCTCTGGCATCACTCATCTACTGAACTGTAACCTCATATCATAACCCTGTTTCCATTCAGTTTCTGTCTAGTACCCTTTCCATCTGTCTGCTGAGACCCCTCTTTACTTCAGCCTTCATCGTAGGCTCCTGCGCTTCTGATAATTCATTCCCCGCTTCTATGATACTGGTTATATACTGTAGACTTTGCGGAGTGAAATCATGTAATCCACAATCGGGTTTAGCATTCAGACCATTTTGTGCATTCCATCTTAAATTGTTTTGTTTTTTGTATAATTTTGTTATTTTTTAAATAAAAAAATAAAGATACCATATGCACATTGACATACACGTGTATTTAAAACTCATTCTAGATACATGGTCAGAATTAAGGACCTGATATCATCTTGTTGCCCTGTTACAGCACTTCAAATTGTACTTATGATTCTGCAGATTCAATAAAATGTCATTTTTTTCTCAAACCGTTTATACTACGTCTATTGTTGTACAGAAGAATAGTCGGACAAATGCAAAAGTCTTCTGAAAACCTGTTCTATGTCTATTAACCTTTTAGTGATAATGCTGATTAAAGACACATTTATTAAGAAATATGAACACAATATAGAAAATAAGAGGCCCTCTACAAGACAAGAGCTAAAGATAAGGTCATAAGGCAGTAGGAGCCACCTTACTTGATATTGTGATTATTCAAATGTGCTCAAATTTACAATTAATCAAATAATAAATACAAAAAAACACAATATACAGTGAACGTGGAGCATTTTGGGCCCCTGGGAGTCTATGGCTCTTTGGCCAGCTGCCCACTAGTAAGCCTTGCTTTGGACCAAAGCTGTTTGTAAGCCTCCAGTCCCAAGATGAAGAGTACAAAGAATATTAGGGATAAGTTTTGTTTAAAGATAAATCCGGGCAAAATAGTTGATTTTTATGTAAGACTTGCCCTGGCAAAGCTAAGAGTGATGCGTTTCACTGAGTTTCCAGTATTGGGTACAGCCATCTGAAACTCATTCAGCCTACTGTAATGCCAAAAGTCTTCATTGAATCATTCATTTATCAAGGTTTAAATGTTTTAAGTGAGGTATTGATGCAACTTTTTAAAACAGTTCATGGAGTTATGGATTTATTGTTTTACTTTGTTTTAGGCCTATAGCTTAGAGAAGGGTCTACAAATAAACTGGCAACAGGAGTTTTTATTTGTATTGTCAGTTTTTTTATTGTGCCAAAAAACGCTCCCTAAAAACTTTCAAATAGGCTTCGGTCAAGATTAATTTAAGAGCCAAAAGAATGATCCCGAAGATTCAATAACAAAAGAAGGGGATACATACATGAATAGAATAACGGGACATTGAACAAATATTACATTTTGATTAGATAATATACGGCGACAAAGTAAATTAGAAAGATATCATGTATAACAAGAAATCCCCCTCCATTCATGGGAAACATCAAACCGGAGTTTAGCCTGTCAGGTCATACTTGTTTTTTCTGGTTTGTGAATTGCCCTAAAAAAGGACTCTTTCAGGTGACAATATCAAACATTGCGGTTGAATTGTTTAATGTTTATTGTGAATTGAATTGGGGTATATAACATCTCGTGGAAAAAATCTACCTAAAAGCCCAAACGCGGGGTGAATAAAACCCTTTCTCCCTACCTTCGCTTCCTGCTCTGAGGGGGGAGGGGTCGACTGAGGCTCGAGATCCCCGAACGGTTCCGGAAACAGCCGATCTCCTGCAGCGGTGGTAGTGCTTCTGTTTTGCTGCGTGTCATTGCGTCTTCTCCACCGTCTATCTCTGACAATATTTCAATCATGGTGGACATTTTGTTGTTGATGTTTTTCGCCATCATGGGCCTCGTCTTCCTTTCCTACATTATCTACCTGCTGTGATGATGAAGAAGATGAAGCGTCCTGCTCGGACACACAGGCGGCCGGTGCACAGGCTAACACAGGATGTGTGTTTTTCCTCTCCTGCATCCATGGTCTTCATCATTGACACTGGTAAGGCAGCGTTTCATAGAATATAACAAATGTGACATCATGCATATAATATCAAGCGAAAATCGTACACGGTGTGGTGCTTTCAGAAAAAAATACAGGGAGGATATTCCTTGGGAATGTATGGTTATCCATGCATATGATAGCTATAGCAGCCTACTGTATCTTTAATATATTGGAAATTATCACACAATTTTAATAAAAAAGGCTAACAATGTTATTCATCAACAATAATAAACTAAATAAAAAATGTCTGATATCAGCTGTCATCTGTTTCAGGGAGAAGAGCCAGGGTCCAGCCATGATGGCCTCCCTATTGGAGCTCTCATGTAGGAGGGAAGAGCAATCCAGCTGAGGGCAGAAATAATGGACTGAAGTGGAAGCTCTTTTTTTCCCTTCTCTGTCTCCTATTTGCACTCTACCATCACCACCCTGTTCCTCCTTTAACCTCCTTTTTATGTCAGGATCCTCCAAATAAATGTCACTACAAGAGCTCCCATTTACCTTGATGCAATCAGTCCAACCAGTGTATTTTTTATACTTACTGTTGTGCATGTTTCTCTTTAAAGGTGGAGAAATATTACCTCTGCACGTCCAATGAATCCGTAGACATGGATGCAGGACAGTTTGTTGGATTGAGTGTAATACAGGTGTAGAATTTGCCTTTTTAACAACACTGTGAGCTAACTGTTGGCTCTAATTATAATATGTTTCATTCAGTATTATCATATTATCTTTATTTTTGTTTTGTTTTGCCAACTCTTGTTTCATCAAACAGTTGGAGAGCTTATGCCTTGTTGAGTTGCCTATTGGCTCAGCCTTGATATCAGTGTGTTACTTTAAATGTGTTTACAATATGTTCTGCTCCTCACTACAATCAAAATGTCCCGTCAGGTTAAAAGGGAATGTGCCAGTTATACTACTCAAACTGTTTTGTAACTGTTTTTGTATATACTGTACATTTGGCTGCAAATTACATCCGTGAGGAGCAATGGAGTCATTTCAGAAATACATCTACTGTGTATGCTTATCAGTTTTATCACCTCTTATACATTATGTTTCACATATAAATTATGTTAAGTTACTGAAGCACTAATGATTTACTTGATGAAAGTATTTAACATGATATGTCAAATAAAGATGATTTCAGTAAACCCTGTTGCTTCCTGCTTAATTCATTAGATATTTTTTATTTTGCTAACAAAATGAATCAATCATTTCTGTCAAAGGACACATTTTGCTGCACAAAGAACTGCTCACCTTTCATGCTTTAATGAGCCATAAAGTCAGTGTGATCCACTAATAAATGCAAATATATATTTTTGTTTTACTTTTCCGGCATTTTGCCATGTTGGAAGTGACATTACAGATTTCAACACCAAATACGTGGGGAAAGAGGCCAGTATGGCTTTCATCAAATGACATCATAGAGACTGCGAAAATATTGCGTTTGAAATTACTCTTGTGTGTTTATAGATAGCGAGACTATTGTGTTCAAAATCATTTCTATTGCACTTTACAGCCACAAATTAATTGATTTCTAAAGGCTAAAATCTGCTCCAGCAGCTTTATGTTTAAGTCTTTTATGGTAGTTATCATGTCCTGTGTAGTGCTGTATATTTGGTGATATCCAAATTAAAGACCTATGAATTAAGGACTATTTTTCGCACAAAGCAGATGGTTGCCTCTATAAGAAAATGAGAAAAATAACTACCTGGGACATAATCTCTTCAAACGAGGGCTGATGCATGTTTGTAAAGGAGTACACACAATGCATTATATTAAATATGTAAGTAATCTGTTTAATATTTCCTGTCAAATTAACGCACTGGTGTGGTTGTGTGAGCAGCCCTTGTAGCAGGTTCAAAGCTACATGCTGTCCTGCAGATGGTGCTGTTTATCCATTGTAGGCAGTGGAGAATCAGCTGATGGCATTGTGTCCATACAGTAAATAAACGTGTCTCTTTCCAGATGTAAGAACAGGTGAAGTAAGACAGGATAAGAGCAGTGCGATTTCAATTCCGCAATCACAGTTAGTTAAAAAAACGAGTTTATTATGTTTATTAACAGTATAGGAGCACTTGGAATGAATGTTTTTGTATGTATTTAGCTTAATAACTATTTCTTATGACTCTTTTTGTATAGTATTTTAAATAGATATATTTTGTATACTACAATACATCTTACATTCCCCTTTTTTCTTTTATACCCATAAAGACTATTCAACCTAAAGTCAGTTTTATTCTGGCTCGATAAGGAGATCATTTTATCACCATTTCTTAGAGACAGGTTGCCCCTCTTGCTCTCTGAAGACTCGCCAAATTGACAGTACAGCTTCATTATTTACATTTTTTGCGAATTTTATACAAACATACTGTACTTCTAACCTTTAAAAAAAATGCCTTAACAATACGTATTCTGAAAACCAAATTTTCCGTAATTATATTGTTACACATTTTACTTTCTTGCCAAGTTAGAGGAGAAGATTGATACCACTTTGCAGTAGCAGCTGGTTAGCTTAGTTAAAGACTGCAAACAGCTCTGTCTCACGGATATAATCCTGCAAAGAACACCCCACACAATTATAAACTTTGCTTCAGTTTACACTTACGTTTTAAACAAACAAGATATAACATGGAATCATTTGTTAAATAGTACTTGTTTGAGCTGCTGTGAGGCGGATTTGGTCACCTCAGGGCAGAGCCAAGCTAGCTGCTCCCCCTTAGTTTCCAGTCTTTATGCTAAACTAAGCTAACCAGCTGCTAGCTTTAGCCTCATATCTACCGTACATACATAAAGTGGTATTGACCTTCTTATATCTAACCAAACTCCCTAAATCATGTTACCAAAAATGTTGAACTATTCTCATTATGTGTATGTGCCACCTTCCTCCAAAAACCACTTAGCTTAAGTTTCTCTCACATGTGTGCAGTCAGACCCACTGTGGGAAATAATCGGAATTCCTCTGGTGCTGATAGTATAATCTACTACTCTCAGTTTTACAATACACCCGCTGTTCTATCAGAGCACACACACACACACACACACACACACACACACACACACACACACACACACACACACACACACACACACACACACACACACACACACTCTTTAGGTCGATCATATCAAATAACGCTGCAGAATTATACATTTGAGGGTGTTCAAGAAAACTGAAGCTGCATTTGAGCTGGACTAAAGAAAGTAGGCCAGGGTTTTGTTTGGTTGTCCACATGTTGCATGACCTTGCTGCATTGCATTCCTGACCCCCCATTCACCCACTGGCCTGTCACACTGTTCCTAGCCACTGTATTAGATCAGTGCTATGTTATGCGTCCATTGAATAGAAAAAAAAGCCAGAACAGGTGCTCTTTTGTTTTTAAGCTGCAGGGACTTGGGTTTCCCCCATGAGCAGTATTTTTAGGTAGATGCGGTAATACGGCATATTTTGAATTGTTTATGATTACTTTAAAAGAAAAATTCCACCCTCAGGACACTCTGGTCCTGCTGCAACCGTTGCCTTGCATTTCTGATCTGCTTCCAATTTCTATCCCAAACAAAGAAATCAGTGGATCTTCCTGGAAATAAATAGAGTTAGGTATATTCAGTCACTGAAACATACCTAAATCTATAACAATAATAATAATTGTAAACAAATAATTAAATAATCTTTGGATAACAACTTCGGGACTGCACTGAACCTTACAAACAATTGATATTTAACAACCTAAGACAACTATTGTGTTTATTTCCCTTTGAATTGATGCTGCACAATGCAAGTGTTCTTGACGCATGCTGAAATTCTGCCATACCATCTCACCTTTGTGGCACCTGTAACCTCTTGCAATCTTTGCTGGAATGCCAGTGAGATGGAGTTGATGGGGGATAGAGCAGCAAGGAATTGAGTGTGATACAATAGATGTAGGGTGAGGGAGTGGCGGGGGGCATAGAGGATAGAAACAGAGCAAATAAAGAGGGAGGCAATGAAAGAAAAGAGAAATAGAGGGAGGGATGTAGGACTGGGGGGGGGGGGGGGGGGGGGGGGGTTATATGTGCTTAGCAATGGCCTTCAGCAGTGGAGTTCCTGTTGTTGTGGTCAGGGAGTTTCCCTCCATGTGGCCCTGGAGGAAAACGACAGAGGATGTCTTTTTCCTGGCTGACCAAGAATGCCCGGGCCTTGAGGTCTTTCCTCTTATAATTTGCGTTTTATACAAAGTTCATCCCACAGTTTCAATCCTAAATAAACTAGCTGCTGTCCATCTCTTTCACACTGGAGCTCAGCCAATGTGACACTAATGCATAAACATTTCAGCAGAGAGGCGAGCACAGGGGAAAACATTCCTCCCAGGGACACAGGGATGTATGCTCTTAAACACCACATCCACGCAGATTGGACTACACGTCCCGACATGCTCCCCCCACAATAGGGGGTGGGGGCCATAAATCCTGGCAGCCAATGGCTTTGTGTCTTAGGATCTGTGGTTGGTGTGTTGCACGGCAGCTGTTGTCAATGGCAACAGAGGTTTTCAGGGAAGCATGAGCTGGACAGCTGGTAGAGGGTCCCTCAGTCCTGTACTGGGAGTCACATGATCCCCGCGGCAGCCAATCTCAGCCCTCCGCCCTCCTCCCTCCCTCACTGCCTCTCTCTCATTCGCTGACTCTGGCTCTCTTTTGGCTGCAGCAGGAGGGGGAGGGGAGATGGAAAGAGAGGAGGGAAGTGGAGATAGAAAGGGAGGGAGGGGAGGCGAGGCAAGAGGCCAGCTCAAACAGGGAACGAGTGAAAGAGCTTGTGAGGGAAAACGTAGAGCGGGAGTCTCTTCCCTCTGTGTGCTTATCAAGGAGAGAAGTGAAGATCCAATGCACGCCCTGTTTGCCCTCCATTCTCCACCCTGAGCAGCAGGATAAGAAGAGAAGACAGAAAAAGGACTAGAGAGGAGTGTTTCCCCTTGGATGTATCGGACTGTCACACTCAGACACAAGGAGGGACAGGACCATGCCTCTGAGGAGAGGTGCAGGCTGCCCGGCTGCCTCGCCTGTGTGAGCAGAGCAGGGTTGCATTGCTGTTGGGAATACTGAACAAGGACAAGAAGAAGGAGGAGAAGAAGAAGAAACGGGGGCAGGCAGCCGGCGATCTCGTGCCATGACTGGGAACAGGAGAAGGGAGGAGGCTTGCTGAAATCATGGACCAGGTGAGGATGGAGAGGAGGAGAGTAAGGGAGGGACTGAAGGGGAAGTGAAGGGGACACCCACCTTTAGTGTGCTTCACATTCACACCTTGCTTGCTGACACAAAACACACAGAGCATAACATCCATCATCCCGCTTTCCATTCCCTCAAGGCAAAAACAAACAGCGCAGCATGCTGCTTATCCTGCGATATGTTTGCTGCCTTCACCCCACTGCGAGCTAGCTTTTACTCTGGGGGAGGGGGCCGGTTGAGGTGTTGCCACCGGCGAGTGGCAGGCCTCTGGAGAGATGACACAGCTGAAAACATCCCCGGCTTGTCCCTGACACCGGGCATAAGATCAACACTTTGGGAGAGGAAAGAGAAAGCGGCATAAAAAGAGGGGTGTGGCTCAGTTTTGTGGGTTAACAGGCATCCCCGGTCATGATCCGTCTTAACATGTCATGCGGAAATTGGCTCCCTTGCCAGGAGTCAGGACACAGGCGGGAGACCGGGATGCCATGCAACAGGGTTCACATCCAGAGCTGTGTGTTTCTGCATTCATTCATTCATAAAGACTCAGATAAGGTTTGTAACACTGTGTTCTCGTGTCACCAGTCTCTACAGGGACTGTCATCCACAAGCTTACTGTGAGAGCGAGGAATATACCTCCTTCAGTTCTTCAGACAGTTTTTCAGGATTGTTTTTGAATACAGCCGGGGAAGCTCTTGGCTCCTGTGGTTTTATCAGGTGTTATATCCATGCTTGAGGCGACCAGCTGCTTGTAGTTGAGCGTGTGATGAATGGCTTTAAAGGAAGAGAGAACGCATACACCTTCCTTGTATCTCACCCTCAACGCACTGCCAGTGTGTGTCCTGCTCATTGATTACCTCATCCCCCCCCCTTACCTCCCTCCTTCTCCTCTGTTGCTTCGCGTGTTGTGAGCATCAGGTTTGTGATTAAGGACGAGGAGAGGGGGGGGAGATTA